TCTTCCTTCCTTTATGATTTCCTCTCACAGATGCAGCTCTCCCTCAGGTGGAACTTAGTAAGACCAGGTGCCGTTTAACTTTTACTTACCGGTAGCTTCATTTCCAAAACCATTACATAGGGCAGGAGTCCCATTGGCAGGCTAGTGAGAGCTGGACGTGGTAGTATATGCCTATAATCCCAGCACTTGGTAGGCTGAGGCAGGAGCATCTCTGAAAATTCAGGCCCAACCTTATAGCAAGACCTTATCTCAAAAAGAAGAAAAAGAAAGTGTTGTTGGCAGATGCAAGGTCAGCCTTGACCAAGGTCGTGGGGCTCTGTCGTCAGACTAAAACTTTCTGCTTCTCTCTCTCTTGTCCTGAGAATATAAGTATTCTGTAGCTCTAGCAGCCCTTTCTTCCTCCTTTTTTTTGTCTTTTTCCTTTTTATCGGTACCAGGGATCGAACTCAGGACTGCCTGCTTGCAAGGCAGGCATGCCGCTGACCTAAATCCCCAGCCCCAGCCCTTTCTTCCTCTTGTCTGCCTCTGTGTCGGTGGGTTTTTTGTTTTGTTTTGTTTGTTACCCGGGATCGAACTCATAACCTTGTACATGCCAGGCAGGTGCTGTGCTGCTGAACTAAATCTTTGGCTCCCCTGTGTCAGTTTTTTTTTTGTACCGGGGATCGAACTCACAACCTCACTCTTGCCAGGTAGATGCTTATGCTGTGAGCTAAATCCCTGTGTCAGTTTTGACTTGCCCACTTTTCATAGGATTCCCTAACTTCACCCTGTTTTCTTAGCATGAACTAACTTTGATACTTTGTAATGCTGATAGATAGTGGTCTCCAGGTACACTGTGCAATCTTCTGGAAATGCCTAGGGAAGAAAATATAAAATTTGTCTTTCTCCTTGTAAAATACATTTTTTGTTTGTGCTTCCTAATATATATATTAGGAGTTAGAAAACATATTGTTGAAAAATCAAAATCAGTATTCTGGTCATCTGAGACTCAAGTCCCTTGTTGGAAGATAGATGGTAGCTGCCAAACACTTGTAGATGCATTTTTGTATTAATTTCTATTTCATAAGGGTGTTTACAGATGTAGAATTACAGAGTCCAAGGATATGTACCTTACTGAGATACTGAATTCCAGAAGATACCACCATGTGTGTATTTCCTTAGCTGCAGGACATTGAACACTGTTATTTTTAGAAATCTTTGTGTACAGGTAAGTGTCAACTGGTTTTTTTGTTTTTATCAGTACCAGGGATCGAACTCACGATCACACATTTGCAAGGCAGGCGCTTATGCCACTGAGCTAAATCCCCAGCTCGGGGTACAGGTAACGTGGCATTTTCTTTGTAATTTATGTGTCTTTCATTAGTGGTGTGATTTATTTCCTACCATTGACCACCAGCGTGTGCTTGTGTGCTCATGTCCTGGCTGCTATTGAAGGCTGGGTGGTTTTTCATGGTTTTTGGTTATTTGGGTTCCTCTTTGTCATTTCTCCATCATCAATCCATTTTTCTTTGTGGATATTTAAGAGTATCAGTAGAGGGCCTGGGGTTTAGCTCAGCAGCACAAGCGGCTGCCTGGGAGGCACAAGGTCATGAGTTCCATCCCTGGTACCAAAACAACCACCCAAACAGAAGAATATTCACACCTGTTCCCAGTGGCACACGCTGTAATTCCAGAGGCTGAGGCAGGGGGACCACAGGTGGGAGCCAGCCTGAGAAACTTAGTGAAATATGTCTCAAAGTAGGAAATAAAAAAGGACCGGCAATAGCTCAGTTTGAAGAACCTGAGTTCAATCTTTGGTAAGATAAATAAAAACATTTAAAACTGTATATTGCATAAGTATGGACTCCATATAATTATAATTTTGACTGCTTTCTAGATAATATGTAATATCAGTTTTGATTTCCTCTTTGATTACGGGTTATTTAGAAGTGATTTTCTTGATTTCTTAGCAGGTTTGTTCTCCTCCCATTTGGTAATTTTATGATTTATTTGTATGTTATTTGATTATGATCAAAGCATATGAGCTATGAAACCTTCTTTTAAAATTTTCTTTTTTGTTTTTTAATTTTTGCTTTTTGAGACAGGGTCTCACTGTGTAGCCCAGGCTGGCCTCAAACTCACAGTGATCCTCCTGCCTGTTTCCTGGCATGCACCACCACACCCAGGCTTTGGGCTATAAAATCTTTGTGACAGAAAACTTACTAAGAATTTCTCAGTGGCCAAAACTAATTGACTTTTGTGTACATTCTATCACATAAGAAGTGAAGGTTGCTAGGTGTGGTGATACATGCCTGAAATCCGACCTGCTTGGAAGTTTGAAAGGAAGCATCTCAGGTTTGAGGCCAGCCTGGGCAATTTAGCAAGATCTTGTCTCAGAATGAAACAATAAAGTCTGGTGGTGTAGCTCAGGACTATCTTGTTTCAGTCCCTCGTACCGCGAATTAAAAAAGAAGTGGATGCTGATTTAGAAATGCTTTAGTTTTACTCTTTTCCAACTTGATTTATTAAAATTCTATCAAAGTCTTCTAGAATAATTTTTTTAAAATAAAGATCATGTATTCCTAGGTGTTTTTGTTTCATGCATCTGGCTTAAAGAGTGAACCTGTAATGAAATATTCCTTTTTGTCCAGTTGGGGTCATATTTGGCCTCAGTTTCTAATGTTGCTCTTTCTATTTGCCTAGAATGTGGTAAAGATGCATCCTTTCATTTTTAGCCTTTGTCACCTAAAGATATAGCTAGATGTTATCATCTAACTTAATTGGATAATCTTTTTTCTGGAATGCTGAGCTATATTGCCAGCCCTTTTTATTTTATTTTGAGACAGGGTCTCACTAATTTGCCAAATTTATGATCTTCCTGTTTCAGCCTCCTGAGTAGCTGGAACTACTTGAGTGCTTGGCTAACAGTCCCTTTTGATAGGAAACAGCTCGTTTGTATTTTCTGGAAGTAAATGATAGCTAATCTTATTCTACTTGTCATCTATCATTGTTTATTGCATTTCATGCCTTTTTTAACTTTCTTGTGTAGACTTTTAGTTTCTCTTCATCTTCTGCTTTTCCTTTACGAGTCTGGATAAAATGCTTTTCCCTTCTGCAAGTGGTTTCTTTTCCTTTTCTAACAACCTCAGCTGAACCCTATTTCTGTCTACGGTTTGTCACCCTGGGCTGTGATACTTGATCTCCATAGCATGACCCGGCCCCCTTTACGCTGAATTCAGTCAGGAATTTCACAAAACACTGGTGTATCCATTTTTAACGAGTCAGATCAAAATTGTTTGGGGCCAGGGATATGGCTCAGTGGCATAAGTGCCTGCCGAACAGCACAAGTCCTGAGTTGGATTCCTCAGACAAATAAATAAATTTAATTAGGTTAAAGGGCTGGGGATTTAGCTCAGCAGCACAGTGCCTGCCTGGCAAGTGCAAGGCACTAAATTGTATTACTGGCAGGCAGGGGAAAAAAAGGCTGTTTGGCATTTGGTGGCCTCTTTTAATATGCTGGCTGAAGTCTTAGGCAGATTATTATTATTATTTTGTCTTTTTCGTTTTTGTCAGTACCGGGGATCGAACTCACGACTGCCTGCTTCCAAGGCAGGCGCTTATGCCGCTGAGCTAAACCTCCAGCCCCACAGATTATTATTTACCTACCCATCGATGGGCTTTTCTCCTTTTGGAATTTGTCTGTTTTTCTTTCTTTTTTTTTTTTTTTTTGTCTTTTTTCCTTTTTATGGGTACCAGGGATTGAACTCACGACTGCCTGCTTGCAAGGCAGGCGCTTATGCCACTGAGCTGAATCCCCAGCCCCTTGTCTGTTTTTCTGAGACTGGGTCTCACTAAGTAGTTCAGGTTGGCCTCAGACTCACAGTGATCCTCCTGCCTCAGCCTCCCGAGAGCTGGGATTACAGGTGTGCACCTCCCCTGGCTCTCCCTCTCTGTTCGTTGATATTGCAGATTGCTGATTTGGCCACTGTTGAGAGCATCCTCTTTTGTCTGGCCCAGAGCCAGAATGTCCATTATGGTGTCTAATAGTCTCTTCCCTAACTGCTGCATCAGAGAGGCCTGTTTCCTCCAGAGAATGGACTCCCTCCCCACCTCCTGTCTCCTCGCTGAGCCTCCTCGGATCCCCCTTTTGTATTCAGCCTGTTTGCTTCTGGCTTTCATTTCCTTCACAGATCTGTGTTCCTCAGTAGGGGCCAAAGTGAGGGTGGGAGCCCAAAGATTTCTGCTCTTCTCTGTCAGGTATTAGAACTGACCACCTGGCAGCCCTTTCCTGAGGGGTGTGCAGGGGCTGGGTGCAGGTGTCGGACATGAAGGGAACCCTGCCAGCCCAGTCCCAGGCCCAGCCTGGCGGACCTCCTCAGACTGAGAAAGTGGGCGCAGCCCTTCCTTGGGGAGGTTGTTTCTCTCCCACCCCAAACACAGTCTTTCTTTACCTCACCTCAGCAGCTCCTTTCTTGCCAAGCTGGCCTTGAACTCAGGACCCTCCTGCTGCTGCAGTCTAGGGAGTTGCTAGGGTTACACATGTATGCCACACCGGGCTCTCCTCCTCTTCCTGGGTTCCTGTGACATTTTCTTTGCTCCAGGGTTTAGAACTGCTGCCTAACTTAGCAGGTTGTTAATTTCAAGGAAGGGAGGGGCACAAGGGGCAGAGGGAACATGGCTGCCAGGTGGCAGGGCTGCTTTTGGATGATTTGTACAAAGGTGTCTTCCTCTTGCCACGATGGGTGTCCTCAGCGCTGCATTCCACCCGGAGGGACCAAGAGACTGCCACTGGCCTCTGAGACCCTGTTTCCTGTGCTGTTTGTCCCTTGGCTCTTCCTGGCACCAGGACAAGCCCAGTTCTGATGCTGTCCTCTTCCAGGAACCCAGACTGGCACCTGCAGCTGCACGGGCACCCACCTGGCTGCTGTGAGCCTCCAGGAAGCTGCAGGAAGGAGAAAGGGGAGGGAGACCTCACGCCCAGGCGGTATCCTCTGGGCAGTCAGCAAATAAAGACCCTTAAATTTCCTTTCTAGATTTTAATTTATTTTAAAAATTTGGAATGTACAATAAAACAAAAGTACAAGGCAGAAAATAAGTTTCAATTCTCACCAACCAGGAGCAGTGTAATTCTATACACCTTTCTTTGGTTTGTTTTGCTTTTTTGAGACAGGGTCTCACTACACACTCCAGGCTGATCTTGAGCTCACTGTGCAGGCCAGGGTGGCTTCAAACTCCTAGCAATCCTCCTGCCTCAGCCTCTTAAATGCTGGGATTATTGCCACCATGCCTGGCTTTCTATGTAACTTTCTAACCTCTAAGATTTGAAGATATTTTTGAATAGGTAGCAATACATGCAAATTGTACAAAATTCAAAAGGTATAAATTCCTTCCCTCTTTCCCAATTCTTTTCTTCAAAGACAAGCAATTACTGGGATCACTTTTACATTGATAGGCATGTAGCGTGCATAGAAACATACTTTCCCCCCTCCCGAATGGCTGCATTATCTAACACTGTCGTGCATTTTGGTTTTATAACCAAAAAGATTTATAAATCTTTCCATATTGATGTACCACCTTACTAAAACAAAACACACTCACAATTAATTTCACCAACTGTTAATTGGGGGACATTTTGACCGTGTCGATAATTTACTATTAGAATGGGTGTTTTAATGTCTGCAGTTGACATACTTCTTGAGGATGTGGAGTAAATCTATAGTGTAAATTAGTTTAATGGAAATGCTGGGTCAAAGTATAAGTATGTTTTCTAGAAATCACCAAACTGTTCTCAGAGAGATTGGACATGCCAGTCCCTCTGCTTAGAGCTCGAGACTGTATTTATGCTCTCTCAGAAGAACACAGCAGTAGCAGCTGGTCTTTGTTTCTGTGAGCCATATCCTGCTATTGCCTCTTAATGCAGCGTCTTCTTGGTGAGTTCTAAGGTTGGACCATTAATAGTCACCATTTTGCAGATGAAAGATCGAGGCAGAGGAGAGTTCGGTGCCTCGCCTGTAATTACGTTGCCCGGGATTCTAGCTTCTAGCCCAGGGTCGCCAGTAGGTTTCCTCACAACTGAGCTTTCCCACCTCAGGAAGTAGCTGCCAAGCCAGAATTCTCAGCTTTTCTTTGTAGGGCAATTTGAAGACATTTAGATCCTTACATTTTTTCAAAACAAATTTCATGTAATCTCAGCACTCTGGGAGGCTGAGGCAAGAGGATCACATGTTCAAGCCTGACCTGAGCAACTTAGCAACTTAGAGAGATCCTGTGTCAAAAATTAAAGAAAAAGGGGGGTTGGTGGGCAGGGTGTTCTAAGTTGTTCAGTATGAAGACTATGAGTTCAATCCCCAGTTCTGCAAATAAATAAATAAGTAATTTGAAAAGTAATAAATTAAAAACAACTTCTAGACTTACGTTTTCCTAAAAGCTTAAGATCTGGGGGCTGGGGATTTAGCTCAGAGGCATAAGCACCTGCCTTGCAAGCAGGCAGTCGTGAGCTCGATCCTCGGTACCAATAAAAAAAAAAAAAAAAGCTTAAGATCTGAGATTGTCACTTGTAAGCTCTTCCAGGGCAAGGTCTTCATGTGAAAGGCACTCGGGAGCTTCAATCAGTGTAAGTCATGTTAAACACAGCACGGTTTCCTTAGATTCGCGTTCTAGCAAGTAGTGCACAAAGAAAAATCTAAGGAATTATGGTTGAGCTAATTCAATAAGTAGTGGTATTTTTTCCTTCTTCTTTTTGGACTATAGCATGTGTACGTGTGTGCATATGTGAGCCTATATATATGGCTTGGGTGTGGCCCCTCAAAGCCAAGTTAGAGACACGGTCCCCAGTGCATCTGACTTGCAAGGTGAGACCCTTTGGGAGGTAAAGGCCATTCATGGATTAGGGGGTTAATGGGTCATTGTGGGAGTGACTCTGTTGTAAAACTGAGTACTTGCGTGCTTGCTCTGTCTCGCTCCATGTTACATCCTCTGCCTTGTGAGGATGCAGTGAAAAACCCCTCACCATATGCCAAGCAGATGTTAGCACCATGCTTTGGATGTCCCAGCCTCCAGAATCATGAGCTACATAAACCTCTTATTTTTCATAAATTACTGAGTTCGTGGTATTCAGGTATAGCAACAGAAAATGAACCAAGATGCTCTGCTCCGGAATCAATGTGCAAATCATATCTGTGAAGTGTTTTTAGAGCACTTTTACATTCATTTGTGGTAAGAGCCTGTCTAAGCTCTGGGCCAGGTGTTTGACACACACTGTGTCATCATGCAGAATGTTTTTCCAAAGACGTGAAAAGCTAGCAGGTAGCTACGATGATCCGGAAGCTGGTTTGTTTTTGTTCTTTCGGGGTCTTCCCCCCGGAAGAAGAAGCCTTAGGAAGTTTGGGTAGCATATTGGCCTCATGGCCTGGCTTTCACAGAAGCTCTCTGGCTGTGATTTCCTTTGGCTCAGGGAGTTAAACCAGCTTCGGGCCAGGTCTCTGGGTTTCCCGGTCTATTTCTCTCTTTTGCTCCTCAGATCTGAAAACTCTTCAAGGCTTGAGAGGAAGTGCAGTGAGTTGATTCTCATGTATCTGGAGAAAAGAATGTAGAGGCGGCGGAACCACAGGAGCTGGCTATGGTGGCAGAACATGGCTTTCTAGAAAAAAGCAAACGGGACCAGTCATGCACTTACTCTGTATCTGTCACTCTCAGATTAGCTTTCTTACTCGAAATTCTTCCTCCCACTGACACACCGCATGCTGTAGTCTATCTGGCATCTTCCTGGGCACACAGACGGGTCTCTAACACTGTCTCTACTGCTAAGAAAACCCAAAGCACTGGCTACCAGCCCAAACCCCGGGAAGTCTACAAATACCACCTCTGTGTGAACACTGCTGTGAGGTAAATACTAGGTATTTTTGTTTGTTTGTTAATTGTTGTTTTTTTGGTCCTGGGACTTTAACCCAGGGCTTTCCCATGGAGCCACATCCCTAACTTTTTTTTAGTTTTGAGACAGGGTCTTGCTTGGTTGCTAAGTTGCCTGGACTGGGCTTGAATTTGTGATCCTCTTGCCTTAACTTCCCAGAATGCTGGGATTATAAGATCACAATGCTTAGCCACTACCGTTTTTCTCCCTCCTCTCTTAAGATAGATGAGGAAACTGAGTGATCTCAAATACCTACAAGGTAGCAGACTTGAGATTCAAACCCAGAGCCACCTGATTGACTCTTTGGCCTACATTCCTAATCATTTTGCTCCATTACCTCACTTACACAACAAAAACGGGGATGTTTTAGAAGAAGAGGAATCGGGGCTGGGGATTTAGCTCAGCGGCATAAGCACCTGCCTTGCAAGCAGGCAGTTGTGAGTTCAATCCTTGGTACCGATAAAAATGAAAAGGACAAAAAACAAACAAACAAACAAACAAGAAGAGGAATCAAAAAGGACCTGGGGATGTAGCTGAGTGGTAGGGTCCTTGCCGAGAATATGTGAAGTCCTTAGGGGTGGACATGAGTTGTCCTTCCCTACCTTCTACCAGGGGAATGTAGATTACCTTGTTATTTTAGTTCATTATTTTAGTCTTAAGATTTTATTTATTTTTAAATTTCCCATGGTGCTGGGATTGAGCCCAGGGCCTTGTGGATGCTGGGCAAATACCAGCACTGGGCTGTGTCCTTGCTTGGTCTCACTAAGGTGTCCAGGTTGGCCTTCAACTTGCACACTTCCAGTCCCAGCCTCCTAAGTAGCTAGGATTACAGCTGTGCATCACCACATACAGCTCTAGTTCAGTTTTTCAGTGGATCATAGAAACTGATTTAACAATATGTGATACATGTAAAAGGTTGCTGTTTTTCTATAAGAACTATAATTTAACTGCCTAAGTTAATATTGTAGGGTTTTTTGTTTTGTTTGGTTTGGTTTGTCTTTTTGAGACAGGGTCTCTATGCAGTTCAGGCTGGCCTGAGCTCACTTTGTAGCCCAGGCTGGTCTTGAACTTGTAATGATCCTCCTGCCTCAGCCTCCTGAGTGCTGGGATTACAGGTATGAGCCACCATGCCCAGCCTAAATTAGTATTGTTGCAAAACTCTAAGGAATACATTAGTTACCATAACATATATGACTTTATGCAGTGAACATACCTGTGATAATCAAGCTTTAGCTGATAAAAAGAATTAGAGCAGAACTGTCACTATAGAGTATATTCAGGCAAAATATTTCATACCATTCTTTCCACAGCAAACACTTTTTTTTTTTTTTTTGGTCTTTTTTCCTTTTTATTGGTACCAGGGATTGAACTCACAGCTGCCTGCTTGCAAGGCAGGCACTTACGCCACTGAGCTAAATCCCCAGCCCCCTAGGAAACACATTTGAAGTAAACTTTATTATCAGGAGCAAAGATGATACATGAACTCAGAGAAGAGAATTAACATTTTGAATACCATAATAAAAATACTATGTTTGGGCCGGGGATTTAGCTCAGCAGCATAAGTGCCTGCCTGGCAAGCATGAGGTCGTGAGTTCCATCCCTGGTACCGCAAAAAGAAAAAAAAGTTTAGGAAACTATTGAGAGAAGGGATGACCTTTACACAGTCCACACCACACTTGACCTGCTTCCTTGAAATACGTATCTTGTTTTATGGATCCCCATATCATGGTGCTCAAGTGGTCCACCTACCCAGCCTTCAATGACTTTAGCACTCATTCAGAGGGGCATTCAGAGAAATGATTTGTTTCTTTCTTTTTTTTTTTTTTTTTTGTCTTTTTCCTTTTTATCGGTACCAGGGATTGAACTCCCGACTGCCTGCTTACAAGGCAGGCGCTTATGCCGCTGAGCTAAATCCCCAGCCCATATGATTTGTTTCTTGTCAGCTTAGTTTTTCATTAGCTATATTATTTTTTATTAGCTTTGCTCAAATTTTCTTTCTTTTTCTTTTTTTCTTTTTTAAGCAGTGGCAAAGCATTCAAGAAAGCAAAAATTAAAGCGGGAGCAAGTTTGGACCGAGTAAAATGAGAAAGAGGGTGAGAGCAAAGATAAGGGCACGCCGTGTTCCTGGAAGCACAGCACAGCTGTCATGGGAAGGAGGGGTAGCCGCAACTTTTCTTTCTTTCTTTCTTTCTTTTTTTTTTTTTTTTTTTTCCTGGTACTGGGGATCGAACTCACGACTGTGTGCTTGCAAGGCAGGCGCTTACGCGGCTGAGCTAAATCCCCAGCCCTAGCCTCAAATTTTCTAAGGGAACATTAAATAAATAAATAAAAATTATGTGCTTTTCTCCCTATTTGGGAACATTTTCACTACCCATCTTTCAAAATGCTGATTTTACTGCTTATGCAGTACTGTATGTCTTTCCTACTGAATATTGGCTACTGTAAATTATACGAATGAATATTCTTGCATGTAAATGTATAGACTCATCTTTGTTCCTTTCATTAAAATTCTACAGAAATATAAATTATTGGACCAGAATATGAATTATACAAGTAATACAAGACTATAACAGTATTTAAAATTAAAAAAATAAAACATACCTTGAATCTTACCATTTGGAAGTAATCACTATTAATACTTTTATTTTTCTTCTACCAGGAATCGAAATCCGGCCTCACCTGAGCCACTAAGCTACACCCCAGCCCACTATTAATGTTTTTTGCATATTCTTCGCTGTGTGTTTTTGTGCTTGTGGGAAACCATAGAATGACCTCTACATACTGTTTTGTAGTAACCTGTTTGTTTTCCATAAGGTATGAAGAATATCAAAAGGGTAAAAGCAGTTTTCAGAAGACTTCGCATACATACGGAGTGCAAACGCAGGACCTGCTGCCTGGGTAGAGGTTTGCTGTCTAGAGGCTTTGCAGGACAGGAGACCCAAACTTGCAGCTCAGAGCGTGGAGCCAGGAAGGGTCTCCTTCACCTGTGGAGCAAAGCTGGGGAAAGTGCCTGCTGCAGAGCCCAGGCACGAAGGCAGGGCAGCAGCCCTGTGCCTTGTTACCCGCTGAATCAGCCGGGGATAGAACACCAGGGGACCTGATTCTAGCCACTTGGCAACTGCACAGCTCTTGGGCGGGAGGGGACCCGGAGGAAGAGGAGGCTAAAATCCCTGCACTCTGCAAACTACAGTACTTTAACCCATGTTTACAGAGCAGACTTTTTTTTTTCTTTTAGATATTGGGAATTTTAAATTTAGGATGTTCAAAGAGCTAAATAACAGAAGAAAAACTCTAGTGGAGAATAAGAAATTATGAGATAAACATGCAAATAAAAAATGACAAATTTTGGAAAACAAAATATGAAATAGAAAAAAATTTTAACAGGAAAATGAAGAAACACAGGGCGGTAGGCCTGGTAGCTCATGCCTGTAATCGTAGTTACTCAGGAGGCTAAGGAAAGAGAATTCCAAGTTTGAGACCAGTCTGCACATCTTGGCAACACGCTGTCTCAGATTAAAACATAAACTGAGAAAGGCCGAGCACGGAAAAAAAAAAAGAAGAAACAAAATGGGCTGGGGTGTGGCTCAGGGCAGTGGTAGACACAAAGCCTAGCTTACTAGGACCTGATACGTATTTATTAGGAGTCCTGGGGTGAGAAGGAAGGAAATACCCCACAAGAGGCAAGTGAGGAAGTATAAAGTGAGCACGTGTCAGAAGTATTACATATGGGTGCTCAGTTTGGGGGTACTAAGTAGGATCATGTCAACAGGATCTGCCATAGTCATGCTACAATAAGACCTTAGGGCCCAAAAATATAGAGGTAAACTTCACAAACAAAAAAAGATTATATAACACCAGGCTTTCATCAGCATAGGCACTACTAAAGCTTAAGTGCAATACACAGATACATCTCTAAAAATTGCTAAGGTATGCTGGCACACAGCTGTAATCCTAGCATTCTAGGAGGCTGAGGCAGGAGGATTTGAAATCGAAGTCTAACCTGGGCAATTTAGTGAGATCTTGTCTCAAAAAAAAAAAAAAAAAAAAGCATCGGAGATGTAGCTCAGTGTAAAGGCCTTGGGAAGGGAAAGGCTATGAAAAACTTGGCTATTTCCCGGGGAATGTTAAACAGAAAACATGAAATTGGTTAGTAGAAATAAATCTAAGGCTGGGTGTGGTGGTGCATACCTGTAATCCGAGCACTCAGGAGGCTGAGGCAGGAGGACTTACATGAGTTCAAAGCCAGCCTAGACTACACAGTGAAACCCTGCCTCAAAAAATTGAAAAAAAAAAATCTAAATATCACTAGCTACAAATAAAAACAGAACACATATATCTACTATCAGACATTTCATATCAGGATTAGAAAATCCAATTATATGCTGCTGATAGAAAACACAACTAAAAATCACAATGAAAAGCTAAAATAAAAAGGTTAAAAGAAAAACAAAGACATAAACCATGTAGAGACTAACCCCCCGAAAAGACTACAGAATAATAAAAGGAATAACAGCTTTCATCTTTTTATGTACCTAAAAGCAAACAGTGAAAATTGACAAAAAGCTGATGAGAAAAATGGGCACTAAATATACCACAAAAAGGATACTTTTTTTCCCATTGTGAGAGATAAAATAAGAAATAAATGGAAGCTATGCATGGTGGCTCACGCCTGTAATCCCAGCCCTCAGGAGGCTAGGCAGGAGGATCATTGTTTGAGACTTGCCTGGACTTGGGGCTGGGGATTTAGCTCAGCGGCATAAGCACCTGCCTTGCAAGCAGGCGGTCCTGAGTTCGATCCCTGGTACCGATAAAAAGGAGACTTGCCAGGACTACAAAGTGAGCTCAAGGCCAGCCTGAACTGCATAGCGAGACCCTGTCTCAAAAAAAAAAAAAAAAAAAAAAAAAAAAAGTACACATGTTGACTCAGCAGTACCAAAATTGATCATAAATTATGTTGCTAAGGAAATCTCAGTACTTTTATAAAAATAAGCATAACACACACCACATCTACTCAATACAAAGCAATTAAATTACAAATCAAGAGAACTACATGCATCCATGTGTATATGCACATAGACAGATTTGCATTATTTCTAGTAGTTATTTGTCTATAAAGTCACTGAGAACTCTGAATTTGTGCATTGAGACCACTGCTCTTAGGTAATAGAGGTTCCTATGAACCTCTCTCTGGTCACAGCATTTTCCTAAATTCATCTACACACTTATGTGTGTTTCTGTTTAAAGACACTTAATATGGACTGTTTATTTATTAGCACTGAACTATTGACTGCAGTGTTTTAACTCATGCCCAAATGACGCTAACCCAATACACATGTTCTCTCCACAGTAAACACCATACAGCGTTGTGCCTGGGGACCCCAGCCAGCTTCACCATCGTAGTTAAGCCATTTAAAATAGCAAAATCATAAAAATCATGCTAATGAGGAAAATGTGGCACTGGAAAAAAAAAAACCTTCTTTTTTTTTTTTTTTTGGTGAGAGCTGAGAGCTGTGCTGCCTTGCTAAATCTTCCCTAGAAACATGCATGTGTGAATCAGGTGGCTCGAATTTCTCACTGCCTTGTAATCACACGTGGCTGTGAATGACCAAAAAAGCAAAGCTAGTATCGATCTTGGAATTATAAATTAATTTTAAAAAATCATTATTTAATCATTATTTTATATTACTAGGGATGAAACTAGGGCCTTTGCACTGAGCTATGTCCCCAGCCTTTTTTAAAATTTTTCAATTCTGAGATAGTGTTTCCCTAAGTTGCTCAATGGTCCGGGCTGCCCTGAAATTCAAATTTGGAATCCTTCTGTCTCAGCCTCCCAGACCGCTGGAATTACAGGTGTGCTCCACCATGGCTGGCTAATTGTGTGTGTGTGTGTGTGTGTGTGTGTGTGTGTGTGTGTTGCTGGGGTTGGAACTCAGGTCCTAGTATATGCTAGGCAAGCACTGTAACACTGAGTCACATCCCCCAGCAGCTCAGTCAGCTCACAAAGAAATTTTTGCAAGTAAATGCATCCATAAATACAGAACTACACATAAAAAGGATCACCATGTATGTTTGTCAACTCTACCATACATCCCTAAGACCTTAGGAATTGAAAATAAATTCAAAATGTAACAGGGTTTCACCACTAGTTCAGGCTGGCCTGGACTCACTGTGTTGCCCAGGCTGGCCTTGATCTCACAGCAATCCTCCTGCCTCACCCTCCCATGTGCAGGCGGGGGCCTCCATGCCCAGCAAAACAGATTTTAAATAACAGGACTTATATATAATATAGAATTCATTATATCTATTTGAAGACTATAGCCCAAGAAATTAACGATTACTTTTGAGTGGTGGGATTGCGAGTAATTTTTATTTCTTATTTTCTGGATCCTGTTATATATTTCTAAATTTTCTACAAATAAGCACGAGTCATTTAGTGCTTTAAGAAAAATTATAATCTTTAGAAAAAAAGGTCAACGCCATGGAAGTCTACGCCTCCCACCTTCTCCTGGCCTGGTCCTCACACTCAGGGAGAGACGTGGGCCCTGTGGGAGGTCCCTGGCAAGGGCCTCTGTGGGTTTTGAGGAGCCACGGCCCCGCGTGGCGGGGTGTCCAGGAATTCGCAGGGCTCACCTTGGCGCGTGCCACTTCCTCACTGGTGAGCACGAAGAGGACGTCCGGCGGGCGCAGCAGAGACCAGGGCAGGTCCAGGAGGGAGAGGTATTTGCGTAGCACGTTCACAGACTGCAGCGTCAGCACAGAACACCCTGGTGGGGAGGGCACCGAGGAGAGCACTGCTGCTCCCAGCCAGATCTTCCCCCCAGCGCTGGCCCTGTCTGCAGTCGCTAAGGGGCAGGCAGGTCATGCCATGGCGTTGCCGGGTCTCTGAGGCACCGAGGCTGCTCTTTGCCATCATTCTCACAGACAGGAAAGGTAAAGGGTCACAGAAGACCTGACTCCTGCTCTGTTGCTCAGGAACTGACCGAGCTGCTGGGGGCGGCGCTGCACCCCTGTAATCCCAGCACTTCAGAAGGGAGGCAGAAGGATTGCCACAAGTTCAAGGCCAGCCTGGGCCACGTCATGAGTTCAAGGGCAGAACTATACGGTGAGGCCCCGTCTCAGAAAACAAACAAGAACTAACCAGATTGAAGCTGGGTACACCTGTAATCCCAGTACTCTGGGAGGCTGAAGCAGAAGGCCTGGAATTCTGAGCACAGCCCGGGAAACTTGTCTCAAAATAAAAATGTTTAAAAGGTCTGAGATCGTAGCTCGGTGTGAAGGCCCTGAGTACAGACTCAGTACTGGAGAAAAGTAAATAATGTGCTTAACTGTTCTGAATGCCTGTCTTTTTCCCTCCTGCCCTCCTTTCCTGTTCCTTTCTTTTCCTCTGCCTCATCCTTTTTTTTTTGAGGATGTAGATATTTTTATTTTTAAAATTTTTTCCAGTTAACATTTAAACGTGTTTTTACTTTATTAGCACGTGTGGCTAGAACTAATGTTTACATTCTCTGTGGGAGTACAGGTAATGATACGTATCTTTTTTTTTTTCTTTTTTTTGGTACCGGGGGTCAAACTCACGACCGCCTGCTTGCAAGGCAGGTGCTTATGCTGCTGAGCTAAATCCCCAGCCCCTAACATTATAGTCTTAAAGTACGTCCATTTCCCTATGAATGACAAGTTTATTCTTCTTTACGGCAAAGTAGCACTCCATGGTATATGAACACTCCATGTTCTTTACCTGCTCATCTGCTGATGGACAGCGTGGCTGCTTCCCAGGTTTAGCTACTATGAATTATTCTGCTGTAAACATCAGTGAGCATGTGTCTCTGTAATATCTTTAACTCTTGGAAGATACTCAGGGAAACAGCTGGATCAAATGAAATCCTCCACCTTTTCTTCCACACTGCTTTGTTTTCTGAGACAGGGTTTTCTCTGTAGCCTAGGCTGGCCCTGAGCTCCCGATGCTCCCAGGCATCGGGACATACACACCCTCCTGCCAGGTGCTGGGATTATGGGCCGCCATGCCACGCTTTGCTCGCTTTCCTGTTTCCTTTGCCTCCTTCCTTCTTTCCTTCCTTCCTTTCTCCCTTCCTTCTCTGCTCCCTTCCCTCTTTCCTTCCTCTTCTCACCCTTTCTCTCCCCACCCACCTGACAGGGTCTTGCCGTGGGGCTCGTTGTATTGCCCAGGCTGGCCTAGAACAACCCCTAGGTTCAAGCAATCCTCTTGCCTCAGCTTCCAGATTATCTAGGTCTACAGATGCACACTACAGCACCCAGCTCTTGAACCTCAGCTTTCTAATCTATAAAATAATGTTAATAGTATGAGATGAGCAGTGTTGATAAAAGAATTAAGTGAATTATAGTTGTGTCCCAAAGACCTCTCAGCTTGGTAAGTTTAAAGGCCCCCACTGCTTGTTTCCACTGGTCGAATCTTTTTTTTTTTATCAGTACCAGGGATTGAACTCACGACCGCCTGTTTGTGCCGCTGAGCTAAATCCCCAGCCCCTATTGGTCGAATCTTGTAAGACAGACGCAGCCCTAAGGGTCTTAAGCAAGGGGTCCCATGCAGGAAGTGGCCAGATGGGACCAAATGCCTTCCTGAGGGTTAGGGAGAGTTTTTTCTCGAGCAGATTAGTGCATCTCTCACCTGTCAGCAACTTGCTCATTAGCTGGGCAATAGGATGTGTGTCTGGATGGACAGACCAACAGAACACCACAGGCTGAAAAGACTTACCCTGGGAAAAAGCTGGACAGGTGTTAGGGCAGGTGTGGCCTCCCAGCCCTCTGTCAGGGCACTCGCCAGTGGATACGGCCTGACAGGCGCACGGAACTGGGTCAGGAAGCGAGGCCGCCTTGCCAGCTCTTGCCTCTGCTCTACCCCAGGCCCGTTCTCAATACCGCCCCTCCATGCTGGATGGGGATTTATTCCAGGTGCCCCACAGACACCAAAAGCTATGGATGCCTAAGACTATCCTATAAAACCCATAGTGTTTGTGTAGAATCTATACACTTCCTCCTCCTCTTTAATACATCTCTAGGCTACCTACATGCCTAGCATAATGTAAATGCTCTGTACACAGTTGTTTAGGGAATCATGATGAGAAAAGAGTCTGCATATTCAGGACAGATGCAATTTTTTTTCCTGGGTAATTTTGATCTGTGGTTGTTGAATCCATAGATGTGGAACTTGTGGATACGAAGGGCCAACAGTATTTTCATATTTCTCTCTAAGAAGTTTCTACGAGGGATGAGCTTTTATCAAAAAGACAGGCCTTACCTTTAGGGAACCTTCCTTCTGAGTGCAGGGCCCTGGAGCGAGAAAGGAAAAGACAGGTAAGATTGCCCGCCATGTGTTACCAAGGCAGCCTGCAGGATCCCGGTGCCTCCACACAGGTGCCCTGGTGTCCTTTTTCACACGTCACCTTCTAGATTTCCTGGATTCCACACTTCCGGCTACAGCTGAAGGGATCCGGTTGGGCACCTCAGCCAAGGATGGCTAAACCCCAGGCTGCTCTGTGGTCTATGAAGTGACTCTGCAAGCTTTGCCTGTGAGATTTGAAGGCAACTAACTTAGACTCTTCAAAGTTTTTCTCTGTGATGTATCACAGGAGAATGGTTTTTTGTTTTTGTTTTTGTCTTTGTCCTTTTTATCGGTACCGGGGATCGAACTCACGACTGCCTGCTTGCAGGGCAGGCACTTATGCCGCTGAGCTAAATCCCCAGCCCCACAGGAGAATGTTTTAAAGTATTCATTGATATTTCCCTTCTCCTTTCTGACCTCACCAACTCCCACCTTTAAGGGCCATTCTGTGATCACTGCCTTAGCAGGAGGATGACATAAGCCCAACAGCAATGATCTCCAAATTTCTTCCCCACTTTTTTATTTTAAAAGCTAGGAGAAAGACTAGGATAGGCAGCTTCTTTATCCAACACACAGACTAGGGTGGTGGTGGAAGAAATTGAAAGAGTTGATCAACTTTTAGAATTGTCTCTCTGGTAGATTCAAGAAATAGAACAACCTGAGAAAGGTCTCTGGGATCTTGAGATGGAGATGACTTGTCCTGCACTCTGGGGAGTGTGGGGGGCAGGAGGTCCACAGGGAGAGGGGAGCACTGAGGCCTGCATCTGGGACTTGCACTCATAGCCCTGACAGCCATGAGGACGCTCACTGAGCGAGGCCAGGAGGGAGCCCTGCGATGGGGCAGAGGCGCCTCCTGTGGCAGGGAAGACAGGAAGGGGCTGAGAGGTAGCCAGAAAGCCAGAGTAGGGAGGGCCAGCCAGTGCTGGGCAGCCAAAGCGGCAGTTTAGCGGGTGTCAGGCAAAGCCAGATGCCACAGAAAGGCCAAGATGGGTGAGAACTAAATTAAGTCTGGTGATTTTAGCAGGCAGGAGTGTCTGTACAGAAATTTAGAAGATGGTGTACATGACCGTAGATTGTTTTTGTATGAAGTGCAGGGGCCCCATTAGTGTAGAGAGCCTGTGGTACTCCAAGCTCTTGAGGAAAATGGCCTGAGGCAGCTCTGCTTACAGAAAGTGGCTCCCCGGGGTTCTCTACTGGAATGGAGTCTTTGCTGATTCACCACTGTGGTGGAGACGGACCAGGGATGGAGCAAGCTAAGGGAACTTGTGCCATGGGAAGCCTGTTATGGGGATTCGGGTTTGTGTGCAGGATACCTGCTTGTACCCCCCTCTGGTACAGTGTGAATACTTGGTTAAATCAGAAGTCACAAGTTTAGCTTGTTGTCCATGCCTGTCCTGAGAGCCTAAGGCCTCAAAGCAACCATGTGATTAGAAAGATTACTTCTGGGCTGCCTCACTCTTCCGTGGATCTTCACAGAAACACTGCAAGCTATAAATTACAAAATCACAAAACACTAGCCAGGGGTGCTGGTCCTTGCCTGCAGTCCCAGCACTCAGGAGGCTGAGCCAGCCTGAACCACACAGAAAGACCCTGGCTCAAAAAAAAAAAAAAAAAATCACAAAAGATTGGCTGTAGCAGGCTGAGGATTTAGCTCAGCAGCTCAACACTTGCTTGGTAAATGTGAGGTCCTGAGTGCAACCCCCAGTACCAAAAAAACAAACAAACAAAAAAAGATTGACTGTAGCTGAGGCGTGTGCCTTTCCTGAATCTGGATGACCCTAATGTATCATGCAGCAGATCTCTATAAATGTGACCTGAGGCTGGTCAGGAAGTGACCTGTCTTTACTGAACTAGAGAGCAGTCTGATTTCCTCTCGTTGCACAGTCAAGCACTCAGGGAGAGGAATCTGAAAAAGAGTACATACCTCGGTAATGATGTCTGCATCTACAAAACCCAGCTCTTTAGGAGACAAGCATTTCCACTGAGACTCATGAGAGATTTCTCATGGAGATCACGTGGTGGCTTGTAGTAAGCGACACAGCCACCAACAGCTGTCTGACAGCTCAGCGGTAGGTTTCGTAGGCCTCAGATACCCAGGGGGGAGATGCTTCGGCAACTTGACCCTTAAGCAAATGGACAAACCCTCTCCCACGTCCTTCACCCGGAGAATCGTACCTCACGGCTGCATGCAGAGCAATATGATTGCTGTGACCGCTGACTCCCCCCGCGTCGAAAGTCACCACCTGTGGAGAGAGACAGGGTTTTTCACTCTCGCTGTCTGCTGGTTCCACTTTAAAGTAGCTGCCGCCATTCCCTTGGGCATGGAAGGAGAGCCGAGCCCTGCAACTTCTCAGATGCTGAGGACGTCTGCACTGACTCCTGAGCGGGTCAATGGTGTGTAGTTACTGGCCTGGCTGATTTTAACTTCAAGATGGTTTCCATGGATTTGCTGTTCACTCTTACTCCTGGCCAGGGGAGCACAGTCTAACTCAGTCATGAAGGAAACTTGGTCCAGAATATCTTTGTTGCTTATCTGTTTGGCTATTTATTAGCATGTTTAATATCCCTACCTGGCTGCAATGTGAACTTTGTTGAGGTAGGTGTTGTCTGATTTATTTGGACTCTTTTCCTTGTGCTGTACCACAGGCACAAAAGTTTTATAAGTCAATTAGCACCGTGTCCCGGAGTCGAGCTCACGGAAAAACGTGTATCCGAGACTGCCTTGCTTCCATTTGCACAGATATCTCATCCGTGTACTATCTACAAATTCAGTCTAGGATTCCACATTTTATTTTGGAAGATGGATTAAAAAAATCAAGACTATTTGCATAATGACAATAAAAACATACCTTTTATAATAAAGAAATATAAAGTAAACAAAGACATAGGAAAAAGAATAAGAGGTTTATTATTTTAGGAGATGATAGACTTCCCCAAGGAAAGCAGATGATTCATCATGGATGAAGGACTCAGGACAGAGACTGGAACAGGCTGGGAAGGGATTCACTCTTGGTCTTTCTAGTTAAAACTGGAAGGCTGATCGTGGCAAGATGCTAAAATTTGAGAATTATTCTTTGGGAACACCATCAAGAGTGAGTACCGACTCAGATGAATCTCAAGATGTTTTTCGAATAACAGAGAAGAGTTCTGCAGGGGGTGGCTACATTCCTTAAAATTCAGAAGCTTGGGCTGGGAGTTTCACGCCATTAATGAAATATTTCCCCGGAATCAAGGACTCTGAAGGAAGGTTTTCCCAGGGCTGGTCTTGATTAAGAGCGACCCTACTGTTAGAAATATGTGCTCCCGGGGCTGGGGATTTAGCTCAGCGGCATAAGCGCCTGCCTTGCAAGCGGGCAGTCGTGAGTTCAATCCCCTGTACCGATAAAAAGGAAAAAGACCAAAAAGAAATACGTGCTCCCATCTCTCCCAACTACCTGTAGATTTCTTAACTGTTACCCTGAGAATCTCAATCCTTCAGTGTCAGTAAGGGCTCTGGTGTAAGATTTCTTTGTAGACTGAATAATTATCCCCCAAACATGTCTTTACCCCTGGAACCTCTGCATGTTACCTCACATGGCAAAAGGGACGTGGCAAATGGATTAAATTAAGGATTTTGAGATGGGGATATTATTCTCCATTAGCTGGTGGAGCCAAATGTATTTGAGGGAAGAGGGACACAGGGGTGTCAGCCAGAGAAGCCAGACACATGACAACAGAAGCAGACACTGGCATGACATGCTTTGAAGATGGAGGAGGGCTCATGAGTCAAGAAATACAGCGATCACGAAAAGCTGAAAGTGGTAAGTAAATAAATTTTTCCTCTAGCCCCTTCAGAAAAAACAGCCTTGCCAACACCTGGGCTTTGGCTCAGTGAAACTGACTTTTGGATTTCTGACCTCCAGAAAGTAAAAAAATAAATCTATTGTTCTAAGCCACTAAATTTGTAGTAACTTGTTGCAACAATCACAGGAATCTAATAAACAGGAAAAGTAATGGGAGGGGGGCCTTTGAGACATAGCAAAGGCATTTATTGAGTGGTTGAGGTCGGTCCGTTCCTGCTCACGCCAGGGCCCCCACCCATCTCTTTCTTTCTTTCATCCTTCTCTCCCTCTCCCTTCCGTCCTTTCCCTTCTTCCTTCCATGAGGGGACGGAACCCAGGGCATCCAGCATGCCACCGTAGGCAAGTACATTACCACTGAGCTACAGTCCCAGCCCAACCGGCACCCATTTAGTTTAATTTTTAAGGGACAATCTTCCTCTTCAGCAATTCACAGCTCCAAGTCTTCCTCCAGTGATCTCTTTCTAAAGTCTGATGTGTAAATACAAAGGCATATCTGTTGCAGTGTGTTCATTTTGCAGTGTGATAGTCCCACCTGGGCTTAATCTTGTCCCCTTTCCTCCTCTTGGACTGTAGGCCAACCCACCTACGGTCACCTCCTGCCCTTCCAAAGACTGTCAGCAGGAGTAGTGATACCTATCCTAGTGTGTTATCTTCAGCGGAACTTTCTCCCACTCATTATCCCACTTCTTTCTCTGAATGATCCTATGAGGTAGGATCTACAACTTCTCTAAACTATAGTCTATGAAAGTTGGGCATGAGGGTACACACCTCTAATCCCAGCATTTTGGGAGACTGAGGCAGGAGAATCACAAGTTCCGGTCCAGCCTGGGCAACTTCGAGACATAGTGAGACCCTGTCTCAGAGTAAAAATATAAGATAGTGTTGGGGATATATTTCAGTTCAAAGGCCCTGGGTTCAGTTTCCAGTATGTACTGGAAAAAGGGAACAAAATAACCAAAAAAAAGAAGAAGAACAGAGAGAGAGACAGACAGACAGACAGAAGGAGACACAACAGTAGGAGACCAGTTTGGCACTTTGGTTCGTAACACATTGCTTCTTATCTGAGGATGATTTTTCTTGCAGATACTTGACAATCTCTGGAAATACTTTTAATATGACAACTGTGGAGAGGGCTGGCTACTTGCATGTAGTGGTAGAGGTCAGGGATGCAGCTAAATATTGTACAATGCATAGCACAGTCCCCATATCAAGGAAGAGAAGGAGAGGGAGAGAAACGAGAACTGGTCCTGGGGAAGCCACTATGACGAGAAAAGAAGGTGACAGGGAGACTTGAGGCTGGCCCTGGAAAGCAGCAGGTAGCCTGCAGAGCCCTGAGCTGCCCTGACTGTGGGAGAATGGGCAGGACGGGTAAAGGGACCAAGGCCAGCCCCCATCAGCAGCATCTAACGGCTAAACTCATGGATCCAATCTTACTGCTTTCCTGCTCAGATCTTCGGGGATGGGAAAGCAGGATGTGTGAGCTTGCAAACTTAAAAACTATCTTTCCACCCAGGACAAGGATAAAAGTAAAAAAAACAAGATGGAAAAAGAGGCCAGCAGGGTCAGGCCCTTAGGGCCCATCCTCACCTCAGCCTTGATGTGACCCAGAGTGAACAGTGAGGTGTACCCTTTTGTCTGTGTGAACTAAGTTTCCGTTGTATTTTTTTTTTTTTAACTTTTTATCGGTACTGAGGATTGAACTCATGACCACCTGCTTGCAAGGCAGGTGCTTATGCCGCTAAGCTAAATCCCTAGTCCTGTTTCTGTTGTATTTTTACCATTAGGAAACAGTTTGATTAATATACCAGTTGAAATCCTCTCTCAAGAAGGGTCTAATAAATCAGTTTAGTCAATGAGTTCATCATTGTTAAAATCAGGATTCATTTGGGGGGGGGGATTCATCTTGTAATGATTAACCAAAATTTAAAGCTAAAGAAAAGGATTTTAAATAGTATTAATGCAGGATGGGTTACGATTATTGTTGTTGTTGTTATTTTGATTTAGACAGTAAGCCTTCTTAGCAGCTTTAAACTCAACCACAGGCTAAGTTGAGTCCTGCTAAATACTAGTAGAGCTGACCTGAGCGTTGCTAACCCTGTCCATCTTTGCAAGTAAATATGGATGTGTGCTATTGCTATAATTGAGAATGAAATTTTATTTGTAATGTAGGTCTGCATTTACCCTTATGTTTTTATTTATTTATTTTTGGTGCCGGGGCTTGCCCTCATGACCTTGTGCTTGCTGGGCAGGCACTTAGGCCACTGAGCTAAATCCCCAGCCCCTACCCTTACGTTTTTAGGAGTGAGAAACTGAGGTTCAAAATCCTGGCTTTGGGGCCAAGGAATGGTTCAGTGGTAGAGCCCATGCTTAATATGTATAAAGTCTGGGGTACAACCCATGGCACCCCAAAATTTTTTTCATACAATCCCAGCTTCATAACTTGCCTATTTTGGGTAAGTTGGGCTCTGGGAACCTGTTTCCTTCAAAGAGAAAATAATGCTGTACAAGTGAAAATGCGAGGTAAAAGTGAAACTCTGTACAAATGAGAGTCATGGCAGAGGGTCCTGCAGGACAGAGGTGAGGGAGGGAAGGCATAGTTTGGAAAACAAAATTCTGCCTGTATCTGAGCATTGATGATTCAATTAGTCTCAGAAAAGATCTTAATGGTAAATAAAAGGCATATTTCCACTGAATGTGGTGTGGCACGCTTGTAATTCCAGCATTCTGGGAGTTTGAGGCAGGAGGATCGCAAGTTCTAGCCCAGCCTGGATGATTTAGGGAGATCCTGTTTCAAAATAAAGACCATAAAAGAATTGCGGATGTACCTCAGTGCATAGGCCCTGGGTTCAATTCCCAATGCTAGCAGGAAAAAAAGGTGTGTTTGCTTCTCAGTAAGTTTAGGAGAGAACACTGGAGGTCTGGGACCTTCCTATCGAGTGGCTCTTGAGCAGGACTGGATGTGGGAGACCAGTAGTGGGAAAAGCAGAAACCAATCAATGTCATGGGATGGGACCCGGGGGACCCGGGCTGTCCCCTGAGGTGTGTGTCCCCTTACCAGATTGATGCGGTTGACCTCTATGTGCTGGAGGAGGACGCTGGCCACATGCTCTGTGTCCCACTGCACTCCTGGGTCATCTGGGAAGTCCCTGCACACAAGAAGCACAATTTGAACACCTTTTTTTATCAGGTACCTTTCTCTACGCTCCAATAGTATGTTTCCAGTTTTGTGATGGTTTTATTTAGGGATGGCATTTCCCTACCTTTTTAGGCACTCAGATTTCAATTAAAGAGATAAGATTGAGAAACATGAAACAAGTAGAAATCAATGCACAATTTATTATTCAATGTCTTTGTCCCCATAGCACTGAGAATGGAACCTAGGGCCTTTGCACTGAGTTATAAACCCAGTTTTTAAAAATTACCTGGGTAGGATTCAAACTTGGGGTGTTCCTGCCTCAGCCTCGTGAGTGTTGGGATGACAGGTGTGTGGCACAACATCTGGCATCTTTTAGCACACATGAATGAGAAGCAGGCCAAGAAAGGGAAAGCTAAGCCTACTGATCGTCAGTTCTGAGTGATAGAAGATGAACCCTGCAGGGAGGGAAGCTCACTTCTCCTTAGGGAACTGTAATCTGCTATTGAAGACAGCTCACTGGGGCACGGTGCAAAGGAACAGGCAGCGCTCTGCACCTTTCTCTTGGTGACTCCATTCCCTGACAGGAGGGAGGAAGCATCTCTCTGTGTCTCTATCTTTGTCTGTCTCTCTCTTCCCTTTCCCCATTTCTTTGTGATACTGGGGACTGAACCCAGAGACTTCACATTAAGCCACATCTCCGGCCCCTTTCGTATTTTGTATTTTGAGACAAGGTCTCACTAAGCTGCCCAGGCTAGGCTTGAACTTAGGATCCTCCTGCCCTGCCCCAAAGTATTGAGATTATAGGCATATGTGACCACATCTAGCTTTTCTTTTAATAGTACTGGGGATTGAACTCAAGGCCTTTGCACTGAGCTACATCCTCAATCCTGTTTTTTTCTTTTTCCTACATGAATTGACCTTTTTTGGTGCTGGGAATCGACCTTGCACTTGGCAGGCAGGCACTATGCCACTGAGCTATTTTCCCGCCCCAACAGATTTTATGTCATTGTATTTTATTTAGTTTTGAGATAGTCTCACAAAGTCACTCAATTTCTCAGCCTGGGCTTGAATTTTCAGCCTCCCAAGTAGCTAGGATTATAGGTTTCTTAGTTACTTTTCTTACTGCTGAGATGATATATCTGACACCCAAAGTTAAAGGAGGAAAGTGTGGAGGATCACTAGGATGGATCTCCTTGAGTAAAGTGCAATTACATCTACTTTAGCTAAACCCGGCCCTATCTCCATGTCCTGATATGTACAGAGGTTGCAAAGCTGTTACCTTCTCCCTTCAGTTGGCTCTAAGCAATGTAAACAGGGCTGGCTGAGGTGCTGATGCGTAATCTTTGAAGCCAGATGGATGACAGTCCTGTTTCCTTGACTCAGTGTCGCCCTCTAAATGGTTGGGTACAGCGGGATGGCACAGCCAGTGCTCCAAGACTGTCAACTGGGTTCTAGCCTGGAGATAAGAGGCTATGACTTCCCTGGGCAGAGAAGTTTGCACACCAGAAGTTGAAGTATCAGCCTCCTAAATATTAAATGCTATCTCCGTTGCTACGCATATTGGTCTTTTTGCATGTCCTGCTCTCTACATATTGCAGAGGTGCTCTCTGGCCTCCTAGCTAACCCAGCTCACAGTACTCACAAAATTCCTGCCATTCCCAGAGTCACTCATTCTTTATTTTAATCATTATCATTATTTTTTGGTGCTGGGGATCGAACTCATGACCTCGTGCTTGCCAGGCAGGTGCTTACGCCACTGAGCTAAATCCCAGGCCCATAGTCACTCACTTCTTCACGAATTAATAAACCCAGGTTAGGCCCTGGGTTGTGGCCTATGTCCTGTGAACCCTCGTCTGAACCAGACTCAGGACCTCTTGGCTGCATTTACCTGTAAATATGTCTTAATTATTCTTGCCATGGGTTACACCGGAGGTGGTAGATTGGAATTAACTCATTAGGATTCCAATAACATTTCCATGAGATTACAAATATAAACTTCCTGGACCGCAGAGAGGATGGGAAAAGGGCCTCTTTTTATATTTAGCTCACAATTTGTAGAGGTTTCGATCCATTATCAGCTGGCTCCAAGCAGGTTGGCTTGCCTTGGAGAGCATCAAAGAGGAGAAATATTTCATAGCAGGCAGAAGACAGCAAAAGCAAGCAAGCAAGGGACTTTAGCAGCTTTTCTCTGCCCCTTTTATACTCTGTTCAGGCTATGGGGACTATAATGTGCTAAATTGATCCATGAACTGATTTAGTAATCACACACTCTTAATCCCAGCATTGCACCATGAATCAGTCACACACACCCAACGCAGCACCTCTGAAAAGGCGCCACCTATGGCCACATGAGGCTTTGGTGGTGGTGGGGACATATAAACACAAGCCATAACAACAGGCCTGTGCCAACACACCTGGCTATTATTTGACATTTTTTTTTTTTTTTTTTTTTAATCGGTAGCAGGGATTGAGCTCACGACTGCCTCTTGCAAGGCAGGTGCTTATGCCGCTGAGCTAAATCCCCAGCCCCTGCCCTTACCTTTATATTTTATTGACTGTTTTATTTTTTTACTGTGCAAAAGATTTTTAGTTTTATGTAGTTTTGCTTGTTCATTTTTGCTTTTGTTGTCTGTGCTTTTGGAATTGTGTTCATAAAATTATTGCCATGACCCATACCGAAGAGTTTTCTTCTAAGATTTTACAGATTTAGGTTTAATGTTTGAGTAATCAACCTGGAGGTTGTAATCATTTTCTTCCTCTCCTGCTTCATTCTTCCTTTGCTGAGGATTGAACTTGGGACCGTGCACACACTAGGTAAGTGGTCTACCACTGAGCTACATCACCAGCCCTGTAAACAATTTCTGAGTGAGTTTAATTAAAGACTTTCATAGATTAGAATTTGTAGGCAAGGCTAGAGCTCTTGGATAGTAAGTAGTACCAGGATGGTCAAAAGTAGGCCTCTATTACTTTTCCAGAGTTAGTAAAGCTCATATATATATATATATATATATATATATATATATATATTTTTTTTTTTTTTTTTTTTTTTTTTTTTTGTCTTTTTGAGACAAGTTTCACTGTGCAGTTCAGGCTGGCCTTGAACTCACTTTGTAGCCCAGCCTGGCTTCCAACTCTCATCGGCGATCCTCCTGCCTCAGCCTCCCAAGTGCTGGGATTACAGGCATGTGCCACAGCCATGCCTGGCCAACTTTCCAATATTTACTGATGATCTATTGACATTTCAGTATTTTTCCATTACTTTGTACTTCACAGTTAGAATACTAATTGGTACATAGAAGAAATTCATGACGTATTGTTTTCCCCTTGTTATTTTATAATATTTTCCTCATGATTTCTCTCTGGTCCCAAGAGTGGGAGATATGATCTATCCTTATGGAGGATAATGTTGATTCATTTTAGATTAGTGTCATTTGGTAGCTGCTGATTTAGAACCCTAAAAATGGGCTGAACATATATGGATGTTCCCACCAAAATTTCTGGTACGACATTTCTCCAAGTCTATCAGTACAGGAACCCTGACCAACATTCCCTGACCAACCCTGACGTGACCAACATTCCCAGAAAACTAAAGACACTGAAGGAAAATAGAGCTTTCTGTTCAGTACTACTGGGACCCTCCTGTCATGCAGAACGCCCGTCTCTGGCTTCCTATCATTCCTCCCAGCACTTCCTTCTACTTCTGTCTCTATTTTCTACTCTATCTCTGTTTTCCAGGGCTCACCTTCAGTCCTACCAACCCCATAAAGCTTTCTGCAAGAGTCTTAGGGCAAGTGAAAGTTTAGAGGGCCCAACCCCCTTTCCCGCCCTCCTTTCTGACATCAAGGATGAGTTCGAGGTCCCCAGGTCACTCTCAGTTTCTGTAATTCACACAGCACTCATTAAAAACTGTTCTATGCATGGTGACAGTTTATCCCGGAGACATGATGCAGGTTAAAACTAGCCAGCATGTCGGTGCACATCTGTAACTCCAGATACTCAGGGGACACAGGAAAATCACAAGGTCAAGGCCAGACCGGGCAACTTAATGAGACACTATCTCAAAACAAAAATTTTTTAAAAAGTGGGGTTTGGGGAGGTAGCTCAGTGATAGTTTGCTAGCATGCAGGAGGTTCAATCTCTAATAAATGAAGACAGAGAGAAAGAAATGAGAGACTGTCAGGTGTGACACAAATCACCGAGCCACAGATAAAGCTGAGACCTCTCTTCGGGCAAGGCCAATCTGTATTACGCATCTTCCCTGTGTTTGACCTTGACTGAACTCTACCAACTCTGGCCTGAGACTGCTCCACTTAGCACCTAATACTCTGTTGTTTCTATTGTTCTCTGATACTTTGGGCTCTCCTTACCTAAAGTCAAAATACAAGAGAATAAACTTGTTTCTCATGTGGTGTTTGGTACAATTTGAGTCAAAGAGCAGTTTATTTGAATGACTAACAATAAGTAATTCTGCTTCTATCATGTGCAAGGCACTTTATTAGAGGCCTTAATAAGTACTAATTGGTGGTGGAAGTGGCCTCTACCTGACTGAAACAAAAGCACAGATACCAGCCTCTGATAGTGTATGAGCGCTAGGTTGGGAATACAGTAACTTTATACAACAGATTAGGAGCAAAAAGTATATGAACCAAGCTAGGTGTAGTGGTGCATGCCTGTAATCCCAGCACTTGGAAGGCTGAGGCAGGAGGATCACCATGAGTTTGAGGCCTATCTGGGGCACAGTGAGTTTAAAGTCATCTCAGACTACGTAGCAAGAGCCTGTCTCCAAAAACACATGTATGAACTGGGCAGGGGGTGCAAAGCATCCTAGTGGTACTTTCTACTCTCAACATAAGAGAACAAATATTAAGGGGCTTGGGATTTAGTTCAGTGACAAAGTGCCTGCCTGGCAAGCACAAGGTCCTGAGGTTGATTCCCGGTACCCTTCCCTCCCCCCACAAAAAAAAACAAAGAAAATAAAATGTTATATTTTACGAAATATAAAACTAGAAA